GCTGAAGTAAACTGAAATTGGTGTATTTTTATTACTAAAGCTATTAATTGATGTTAGTGCTTTACAACCAACCATGTTATTTATCAAAGAAAACATCAAAAGAGTCGTTACTTCCTGAGAAAAGTCACTATTTCTGTTTTACTAATCATCTTTTCACACATATTTCTGTATTATACTTTTTTCTAGCTGTTTTTTAGGTGTATAGTGCACAATCTCATCTTACCTTTTATTCTTCTTTAACTTAACTGTAGCCTCAGTGATAAAACCTTTATAACATTCCAGAAGAAATGAAAATCATCAGTGTTTCTCTGTCTTAGCACAACAGAAAATACAAGTTGTTAGTGGATGCTAGAGGAAAGCTTGGGGAGATTAGAGTTCATTCTTTGAGGACTGAAATGAAAATACAAGGTGAATTTCTTGGCAATCAAGCTTGGTGATGAGTGGATTACTATGGCGTTATTTTTGTGCCACTATTTTGAGCGCACGTTAAAAAAAAATTGCAGTTGCAAGTGTTGCATTTTGAGGAGAAATTTATTTTGAGCGAAGAAAAGCTAAATTTGAGTGAACAAAATTCATTGCTGCGTGCAAAAAATTTATTTCAGTGTTTGCTATTATCCACACACACTCAAACAAGGCAGTGGCACGCTTTTTGTGACCCATTAAGAGTAATATTTCAAACTCCGCCACTGCCTCGTTTGAGCTTTGGACGAAATGCATTCTGGGATATTGCATTTCGTCATTTCGAGCTGATTGGAGACAAGAACAGCCGATCAGATTTTTTTGCATCCAAGTCTGTGATTGGCTGGTTTTGTGGCACAAATATAACGGTTTACAGAAAGAGTTGAGCGTGCACGGGCAGAAATGTTGAGAGCGCAAGCAACACATTGCAAGCAAGCGGAAACAACATGCTTTCACAGTTGCTAGCAGCTCTTGTGAGGCAGTATAAAAGACTATGAAACAGACTAATGTAACTGTCACCTGCAAAACACTTACGTATAATACTACAACAGCCACATGTTAGAAGGCAAACTTCTCCCATCGAGCTTCTCCAGCATTTAGTTTACCATAAGTGAAGGCATCACCACTGTTTGGAAAAGATTGGACGTTGTACATGTGGTTACTCGCATGATGGCAAAACAAGCCAAGATACATAACCAACACAAGTCTGATATGATTGTAACACGTCAGATCAGTCTGTAGTAAAAAATGCTTTTCTCACTGCTTTTTAGCCAAACATAATTGGCTAGCATGAAGATACGTTTGACCCATTTGGTGTCATCAAAACCACTTTGCTAAGATTAGTTAAAACCATGTCATTTGGATTTTGAGACATTCTTGGAAGATTTCCTCCCCTTTGTAAAGAACCTCAAAGACATTGGAACCCTTGGCCTCGATAAACACCTCGTAACCTTTAACCCTCTTCAGAAATTACCACTGTTGTCATTTTTCTTTGGAGGTTGGACTGTATTTTATGCCTCTTCCCTCAGAACATGTGATTTTGTTCTAACAGGGTTTTTGTTGTTGAAGTATGAGTCATATTTCTTCTCTGCATGTTCCACGGGTAGATGTGTGTGTACTGCCGCTCAGAAAGCACATGAAAGATGCTGTTTTATCTCTGATTTAATGTAAATGAGTCTAAATTAAAGCTGCAGGGTGTTTTGGGGATGAGATTTCACAAAGTATACCTGTGCATCTAATGTGATATATGGAAATTATATTTCCGCACAGTTTTCTCACAATTATGAAATATTTTCGAGCAGAGTTATGAGCAACATATGGAGGTTTTCACTCACTGTTTGCAATTACATTCAAAGCAGCCTGTCAGCTCCTCCACTCTGCATGGAGAGGTGATTTATCTGTGCGCTTCTATTCATTTTGAATCAGACCGGTGACGCTGGGCTCCCTGAGTGCTTTGACAACCGGTACAGCAGAGAGCCAGCAGAGATTCAAGCAGCAGCAGCAGCAGCTCCAGGAGGAGCGCAGGCACATGAATAATCACCCAGACACTCCTAGATAGCTCTACTCTCCTTGGGCCTTCCAGCAGATGCTATGCTAACAAATGGGAGCAGTCAAACTAGAGCTAATGGGAAAAAGTTTGCTGTTTTCACCCCGAAAAACACAACACACACACATATTGAACACTGGCAACAATTACATCAGTAAACAGTTTGATCGTGTTCATGTAAATATAATCACAGGAAGGAATGCTGAAAAACTGGCCAGTTTGTAGTAACTAGTTTTTATTTTATTTATTTTATTGATGTCACAATTTCAAGTCTTATTTTTTATTCGTACAGGTAGAAAAAAATAATGGTCGGTATGATGTTTGTCATATTTGGCCTTTAGACTGAATACAAGCACATCTTAATTTATGTGATTATACAGCTTCAAAGTTTTGTGGTGTGGTAGTGTATTGATTTGTTTAGGCTTAAGCTTAGTGTTGCCTGGATGTATTTGCATCCATTTCATTGGGTTTGTTTACAAGTCTGTCAATGTTTTCACCTCTGAATATGTTTCATGTCATTTCATTTTGGACATTATCCAGTGTTATTTTTATTTGCTTTACCCTTTTCGTTTTTAAAGCTAAAATGACCTTGATGAATATAAGAGGAGAATATTTCCTGTGAATAATTCAAATACAGCTTGAAAAAATACTAATATAAGAAGAAAGATGAGGAAATAAATACATTTTGATTGGGTAAATTTGTGAAAAGATTCAGTCTGACACACATATGTAGCATAAAATTAAAATCCTTTTGAATAAATAATAACAAACAGAACTTACTTACTTTTTTTTTTACTTCCAAAATTAATAAAAATAAAATAGAAATGTACAGAAAATGTCTTCAGTTTTAGCCTCTGGCAATTTGGTGTCTTGGCTTTGTTGTAGATGGGACGGTGTTTTTATTGTAATACAGTTTCTGAACTTACATTTTGCTCCTGAGAAACAGCACACATATAGTATTAAAACAGACAAGTAGCCAAAAGCTAAATGTTGAAACTAAATCTGAACTGAGCTGAAAATACAAGTCATGAGAAATGGGAGCGATTAAAGAGGACAACCTTGTCATGTTGTGCAAGTATTTGTAATGTTTGACTGGTTATTGATGCTTGGTTTGCAATCTCTCACTCTGCCAGGTTCCCAGCAACACTTTACAGTAATTTGCTGCTTTAAGAAATATGTTTTTAAGGATACTGTGAGTGCTGGACACCGATAGTCATATAAATACCCACAATCCAGCTATAAACTGTTGTAAAATTATAGAAATGAGATGAATTACAGATATAAATTATGTACAAGGTTTTCGTGGGTCATCAAATCCCCGATTTGATTGGATTAGGCTGATTGATAGCCTTTCCTCTCAGCGCTGAATGTGTTTTTGAATGCGTCTACAGTGGCAAAACCCAGTTCAGTCATTACCCCCATCTCCCTTATCAGCACAAGGGGAATAAACACAAATCTAATAGAAATTCATTATACAGAGACATATCCACACACACTCACTCGCACACGCACGCAGAGCCAACTAGTTTATTAGATTAATAGGCTATGAATGGCTAATACGAATTACCCCCCTCTCTTGTTAACGAGACGCGGAGCAATTTGTATAATTATGTCTGTGGAAGAGAAGAATTCCTGTGTCTAAGCATATTTTTAGACAGCCGAGCTTTCTGAAGGCTTTTGATTACGTATTTACTTTGGGGTTTTCAGCCTGGTGCTCTTTCTCTCAGAAGTCGTTTTTGAATAATTCATCGCTTTGTTCCAGAGTGGAATAATTTGTGTTGAGATTTATGAGCAATTGCTTTGGGGTGGGCTGATTTCACTCCTTTTTTTTTAAAATGATCACAGAACATGTTCTGTCAGAGTGTCAGTGTGTCTCTTTCAAGCAGAGGCCTGAGTCGAGACGGCGTTCTCAGGAGGGACGCGGGATTAGCGACGCGTCTTTTTAAAGAGTTTTGTGCCAAAACAAGATACAACATCCAAAATGACACGACTTATATTCCCATCGTGTTTGATAGCACAACTTAAAACATTTATGTGCTTTGAATCATAACTGAGAACCCCTTTTCTTAAAGGAAAGCAACACTGTATGTCTTTAAGCTCTCTTTGAAATTTCCTAGGTGTTATTCAAACAACATGTAATCGGGGCGAGTGCTCCACAGGTTAAATGACATTTGCGCCAAGTTCATGGATTTAGGACTCAGTAATTGCAAAAAACCCAACATTCTGAAGATGGAGTTCACAGCATCCAACAATTAATGAAACAGTCTTTTATTCATTTTTATGTGTTAAGATTTATTTAACCTTTTAACACCAACAAGGTCACTGGAGAACCACTTATGGTATTTTAGCTATGCGTATTTTTAGAAACTAGGAGATTCTACCTTTAAAATTAAATTTTTATCCATGTAAGGGAGTAAATGTATAAAACATCACATTTTAATCCTTCCTTTTAAGCCACATTTCTTCTGATTGGTTGCACCTTGTAAATAAGCTTTGAACAGCAGGTGAGTGCGGCTGCTGTGCTCACAGCCAAAGCTGTGTGCTTGAGATGCCCGTGTTCGGTGTACCCTTCTCTGTGTCATCACACAGAGCAAAGAGTTGTCTGAAATTGAGTGTTAAGGGCAGGATGAGTTTTCAGAAGTTCAAAATGGATTTGTTGCCTTCCTGTATTTGAGCTGTGAAAACACTGATGCAATGATATATTTGGCATGAATAAAATTCTATAATTTGAAATATTTCCCCTCCATTGTTTGGGGGTTTAATTGAGTACACGTGTTTCTTATTTTCCTTATTTGCCTGGCTTTTTGGTTGTTGTCTTTGGACTAAGTTACTTGTTTGTTTTCCTTTCTCCATCATGTTGTATGTTGTGTCTGATTGCGAACTTTATTAAGAAACATAACACAGCTTCTTGATTTCTGCATCTGAGTGAATTTCTCTAAAACCTCACTGACCAGTTACAAATGTTGTCTTGTGCTTCCTTTCATTTTGTCTGCAGGTTCCTGGGAACTTTTTGGAACCAGGTTTGGTGGACCTTCACCAAATCAGCCCAGTGTCAGCTGGTCCAGTAGCACCAGTGCAGGATGATTCATGGGAATGGGATGAAACAGATATGACAATCACAGAAGCAGAGCCACAAGCTATACCAGAACCTGACCTTACACAAAACCTCCCCACAGAACCAAATCTGCCTTCTGAAGCTGTTCTGCCCAATGAAAACCCCCCTGACACGAGTAGAACACCTGTCCCCGCTACTGAGTGTACTGAGATTATGTCGAATACTAGAGGTGGATCATCAGTGGAGGTTCAGCACAATATGACCTCCCAAACCTCACCCCCTAACAACAATAATGTCTACCAAGTATATAGCCTCCACAATATTGAATTATACAGACAGCCTCAGTTTCCTCACACTTCATCCTTATTGCAAAAAACCAAGTCAGGAAAAAGGAAACAGCAAGTGCTGCAGAAGAGCTTGAGTAAGGATTCCTCCTTCTCTTCCATCGAATCCCTCCCAGATCTCCTGGGAGGTTTGATGTCAAGAAGATGCCGAGATGGAGAGAGTGAGGGTGGAAGAGGGAGCGGCCAGTCCTCAAACAGTCGTCGGTCTGAGTGCGAAAGCGGGATTGTTAGTGACACAGGAGACACAGAGACAACAATAGCCAACTTTGAAATCCCAGGAGAGGAAAAAGGTGTGGGTAAAGAAGAGGAGGAGGAAAGTGAGCAGGAGAAGAGGTCGAGGAGGAGCGAAACCAAAAGAAACAGAGAGGAGGAGAAGAAGAGGAGACACAGGAGGGGAGGTGGGGAGGCTGTTGAAATCCTAATTAACGGACGTGGCATCCTGACACCTGCGGATTCTGACTCTGATTTTGAGGTGGGGGGACTTGCTGTTGACTTCTCAAAGTCTTTCTTGTCCCACAGTGATCTCACTGACTTCACCACTCAACAGTACCATGGTTTGGAAACTCCTCCTGTCCTCAGCCGCCGGGCATCAAGTCCAGTTTTATCTCAGGGCTCCTCTCTAGAGTCCCTTCTGGCTCCAGGTGTGGAGTTATTCCCCTCCAAAGACCCACTGCATCGTAGCGCCTCTCTGGAGACTGGCCTAGTCCCATTTCGCAGTATTGATGAAGGAACTGGAGGTAGCCTTGCCAGTCTCGGAGAGCTGGAGAAGGAGCAGAGAAGTGGATATGATGGAGGCCAACAAAGAAAAGAAAACAACACTGAAACTGTGCAAGGGGAACCGTCCCCTGGAGAGCTTAGCCGAAGAACCCTTGATCTCTTGAAACGTCTGGAGAACATCCAGAGTCCTCTTGGGGCAAAAATGACCCGGAGTGTTTCTGACATGACGCTTCGGGGCAGCTCCCCGCAGAGGTGCCCCCTCCCTGCCTCCCCCTCTCTTGGTGGTCGACACGCCCCGCTATCTGGGATTTCATGCTCTTTGTGGAAAGGACCTCCATCGCTGATCAACGAGAGTTCAGCAACAGCATCCCTAACAGAGCTGAGTAGCACTGAGGACTCATCGCTAGGCTCTGAAGATTTTGTCATGCTCAGAAATCAGAGGCACCTCTTGCTGGATCCCACAGTGGCACCCAATGCAAACTCTTCTAGGAAGCGCTGCCACGGTAGGAGCAGAGGAGCACAAGGCCTGGATGAAGCTGACGCAACCAGTTTGAGCATGGTTGTGAACGTCTCTTGCACATCAGCCTGCACGGATGAAGATGAGGATGACAGCGACCTCCTGTCTTCCTCCACGCTCACCCTCACAGAGGAGGAGCTCGGCGTTCGGGACGAAGAGGATGAAGAAGGAGAGCGGCTGAGTGGCGCATCCTCAGGTCACGAGGATGTTGAGGATGATGATGAAGAAGAAATGGAGGGCTCTTATGTGCTGGGGCTTGAGTACATGAAAAGAGAGCTCCAAAATTGGATCCGATCTCCTCGTGCCTCCACTTCCTCTTTCTCTAAAACAGAAACAGGCCTCCATGATGAGCTTCAGTGTGGAGCCAACCTGTCCCCTCAGATTAAGGAGTGTTTTTTAAACCACTCAGCTTCAAAATTATTAGATGCCAACAGTGATGGTGGCAACAATAAAGTAAAAACAGGCAAGAGGGGAATGGAGGAGGAGGAGGAGGAGAATAGGAGGAACGCGACAAGAAGCTACATTAGCCAGTTTGTGGATGATGTGGAGAATGGAAATGTGGACCAGAGCTGTCTAAAAGGGAGGGATGAAGATGATGAGCTCCTCCGAGAGGAGTCCAGCATGTTCACCAAGAACGGAGAGTCTCTAAGGGATTCGTACGTGTTTGCCAAAACAGGAGAGCTGGTTCAAGATATTAGCAACTTGGTAGTGATAACAGAATCAAGCGAGACAAAGGAGTCCCCATCCTGTGAGCTGCTCCCTTTCCCATCCAAACGTGCTTCCTCTTTGGTGGGACAGCTTCGGGGAGAGTTGCCCTGCCACAGCTCCTCCCTCCCTTCTCCTCCATCCCTCTCCCCAGTGGAGGACTGCAAATCCCACGATGCTTTGCACAACAGCAGGTCGGTAGCCAGCAGAAGGAAGGCCATCACCATTCAGGAAAAGTTCAGATTCTCATCTTTTGTGACAGAGGAGACGAGGAGGGAAGTCAGAGACAAAGATTCGTCCTTGCTCCCCAAAAAAGGGCACAACTCTCACTCCTCCTGCTGCAAGCACCTTCCCTGCCCCTCTTCCCTCCATCCACCTTGTATAGAAGAAAGCAAGAAGGAGAACGTGCATGATTTTGTGATGGAGATTATTGACATGACCTCACTGGCCCTGAAAAGCAAAGAGAACCAGACTGAGGAACCGAGCCAGACTGAGACCAATGGGTCCATTCCAGACCAAGGTTCTGCATCATTAGCACAGATCAGAGACAAGGTAGAGTATTATTAATGATAGGCATATGCACATATTGCACTGCAACATGAAAATAAAAACGATTTCAAACAGAACTCAAAAATTATTTGGTGTGGCTGAAAACTTTAACACTAAACGAATCAAATTATTTCTGAGCTGCAGCATCCGAGGTCCTGTTTGACTTTGTATATTCTGTATATTTGTTGGACAAATTAATCCAAAAGTATCAAAAGTTATCTCAGTCGATTGGTTCACTGAATTGGACTAATTCAATAAATCGCATCACAGATCATAACTTTTCAGATTTAATGACTAATTTCTTTGGTATCTTTTGCAAGTGAAGTAATCTAAAAGCTAATCAGTTTTCAGTCTTCATGTTATTTCTGAAAGGAAAAAAGAAATCAGGCAGAAAAGTTTTACTTCCCCCCATGCAAAAAGTGCCTGAGTGTAAAATATGAATATGTAAATCAAGATTTGATGGTTTAGTAATTATGGTAGGTATCTTAAATTAGAAATAATACAAAATAACATTACAAAAAAGTCATTTCAAAACAAATAAGATGCTATTGATAAAAGCGCTAAAGGTTATTCTTATTTCTATCCTTCGTGTTCAGAATCTAAATGAATATTTAGCAGTTGATTCTATTTGTTATCATTTTTGCCCACAATCAAATAAAATTTTAAACCAAATCAGCATCATTTAAACAAAAGGAACTCATACAGTCAGCTGACAGAGCTCTACTATAAGTGAAGCACATTTTATCCTTAATTCCAAACCTTACGAGCAGACAACAAAAGGCAACACAAAAACTTCTCCTTCCTCTCCCTTCAGGTGCTCGAACACTCCCACAGGCCCCTCCACCTTAAGAAGGGAGACTTCTACTCCTACCTGTCTCTCTCTTCCCATGACAGCGACTGCGGCGAGGTCAGTCAGTGCACAGAGGACAAGAGCTCCACCCCAGCACCCTACAGCATCCCGTCATACGTCACGCCAACGCAAGGCCTCCACAGCCCGAGCCCTGAGCTGTTCACAAGCACCAGACAGCAAATTTCAGCGTCTCCCGGCCTCGGAACCAAAAACAAAGTCTGCACTCTTGATCTAAAGTCTGCTGACAGTGAAACTTACTGTGCCGCTGATGGTACCCATGAAGAGCAAACTAACCCCTCTCTGTCTCTGCCCCCCAGCCCTGACATCAGGGAAGAGGTGACTCTGTTTGAAGCCTGTACAGAGGAGGTTTATCTAGGCCCGCCTCTCTGCTACAGCATGGTTCTCACCAAGAAACCATGGCACTTCTTTCTGAAGGAGAATTTTGAGTCCCCCCTGTCATTTGGCTATGAAATGAATGACAGCGTACCTTCGCTGTCTTGCTTAAACAACAATTTTCAGTCTACGTCCGACGACGGGTCCAATTCTCCAGCAGATGACAGTCTGGGTTACCTGTCTCTCTCTAAGCAGACAGTACTGGCGAAAAACCAGGATCAACTATATTTCCAAAGAACAAGTCCAGCAGAGGACACACAGAGCTCTTCCTCTACTTTCCTGGAGCCTTGTTACAGCTCATGTTCCACCTCACCACCCTCAACAAGCGACGCCACCTCCCTCCAGGGGCCTGGCTCCAAACCAAAAGACTACCTTTCCTCTCTTCTTCCTCTTCCTGTGTCCTCCGGCACAGAGGAAGAGAAACGAGGTGAGCACCCGTACCTCCTCTGTGATGTTGCTGGAGGAGAAGTCGCGGCCGCTGCGAGTGTCAGCACGCCGCAGGAGGAGAGAAGTCGTAATGAGGGGCCTCCTTATCTTAATCCCCGGGCGCGTGTCGCCCCGATAGACTCCTCCGCAGCCGAATGTTTGGCAGATACTAAAACGCTTGAATCCAATATGGGCGCCGTAATGACCAAGATAAGTGTCTGCAGCTCCGCTACAAATCCCTCAAAAGAGCCAGCCACCACCGCCACGCGTATTAATCCCAAAATTAACTGCTTGGCGATGAGAGAAGCAGATAGGGGAGAGGGGGAGAGGCAAGGGGAGGTGGATACTCAGTGGGTGAAGTCAGAGGAGAAGGGGAGGAGAGGACGGAGGAGCTCGCAGCAGGAAGCGAAGACTGCGACAGCGAAGCAGGTTAGTGCTCCATGTATTAGCCTGATGTGCTATCTCAGGACATTATACGGGGCCTTGATACTTGACTTTACCTCTCTACTCCAAGTATTAGTCCAAGCCCCTCAATGGGCATGAATGTAATGAGGCCAGTATGTGTTTCTTTCATTTCCATTTCTGAGGCTGGACAGACATGCCAGGTGTTGATATGTGTGACCTGCCCTCTCCTCCTCCCTTTTCCCTTTATCCTCCTTATCCTTCCTCTTACTTTTCTTCACTACACACTCGTATTTGCATTCTTTTCCTTTTTTTTGCCTGCTTTATTTTTTGCTACACTTCTTTCCACACCTTTCTTTTAGTTTTTTTCACTTAATCTTTCTGTACTCTATTTCTATTTGTTATTTCTCATCCAATGCTCATCTCCTCTCCAGTGCACTTCATTTCCACCTATGTTATCCTCCCCCATTCTCTTGTGTTTTCTTCTTCCATGTTCCCTCTCTCCCAGTTATCCTTTTCTCGCCATCTTCCTCACCTTCTCACCTGTCCTCCATCCCCTGTTCTCCTTTCTCTCTTCATTTGTTCTTCCTTTCCTCCTGCAAATATCTTTCCTGTCTTCCCCTCCTCTATGCCTTCTGCTCTTAGCGCTTCTTCTTATCCTCTCTGCTCCCCTGCTTCATCCTTCTCTCTTCCCTCTGGCGTTAATGGAAGGGGGATTTGCAGACTTCTCAGTTTTTTAGTTAAAAGGTTAAGGTCCACAGAACAACATCAGCATAATTACTATCAGTCAGATTTCATTAGGATTCATCAGCTAAGAGCTTTCCTTTCCCGCAGTGATCATTCAATTCATTTCATCGCTGAATTAGCCTGTTTGTGCTGTTTTTAAGTCTTCTATTTCTTTATGCAAATGAGTACGCGATTTTTTTTACCATCTCTGCAACCTTGCTAGTTCCCCTCTTTATCAGTGTTGTCGCTTTTTAAAAGAACAACAGCCAGCTGAAGAGTTTGTTTCATTTTTAAACTAGTTTGTAGTTGGTTTTCATGCAATCGTTTCTGTATCCTGCACGTAGTCACCACTACTGGTGCCTCGAGGCACCAGTAAACACCCAGTATACTGGTGCACATTACACACCATACACCATACACACACCCAGTACTGGTCCTGTTTGAGAAAAAACTTCCATTACAGCTTTTTCTTCTAAGGAGGCAGGACAGTTGGTGTAAGTTGCAAATCTGTTAAGCAAAAGATCACGGTTTCCTAGGTTTGGGTTTTTCACTTCACTGCCTTTTTGGTCTTGCTTTTACGCACTCTTTAGGTTTAGGCATCAGTGCTACTTGTTTAGAACTGGAAAAGGTTGTGGTTTAGGGGAAAATACACACTGTGACTAAATTAATTTTGTATTTTGTATACACAATTTTGTATAGTGAAAAATGATGCTTGAACTTAATCAGTGCATTAAACTATGATACCAAGAGGCTATAACCAGGCTTCCGCATGTGATGAGTTCAGAAAGAGATCGTGTCACAGTATTGAACCCAAGGAAACCTCGAGTGTACAGGGAGTGCAGAATTATTAGGCAAGTTGTATTTTTGAGGAGTAATTGTATTATTGAACAACAACCATGTTCTCAATGAACCCAAAAAACTCATTAATATCAAAGCTGAATGTTTTTGGAAGTAGCTTTTAGTTTGTTTGTAGTTTTAGCTATTTTAGGGGGATATCTGTGTGTGCAGGTGACTATTACTGTGCAGAATTATTAGGCAACTTAACAAAAA